CTTGTGAACGAATCTAGAAAGTTCGAACCTCGTACATATACATTGTTATATTTCATCTTTTCAATTATAAAGTGACTAATAGAAACATATCGGTGGAGATTATGTGTGCAACAAGAAATGTTCGTTGTTTCTTCCCTCGAGCCAACCGAAGCGTAACGAGATCTGGCGGAAAAGCGGAGAACGGAGGAAAATGGCCGAGATATATACGGCCCTTCTTCGTGCTATAAACTTTATGGACGACTTTCCGCTCTATACACGGACGTGTCCTCGTGAAATCGAATCGTAACGCGATTTAATGCGGATAAGAGCAGAATTATGATGTCTCGAGGATAGTATATTATGGATAAAATTTCATTTTCAATTAAGTTCACGTTCATGTTAATAAAGTTCGGTTGTAAGAAGGTTGATATACGTGATTATTTTCTTTTTCCTTTTTTTTTTTTTTTTTTAGGTTATACTCACTTGCGTTATCACAGGTAAATGCTTTTTTAATATTTTACATACGTGCACTTACAGTTTCATTGATCACGGTGGATATAACGTTTGTTCCAATTGTAAAATTAGATTTTCAAAAAGAATATCACTGATGGAATGATTTAACATTTTCCATATCGTGAAAGAAATTATCTGACGATATCCAAGAATTTCCGCCTCGTGAAACATTTCCAACGTTTCAAATCCAATTCAAGCTCGAGCTTGTAAAAAAGCTGCGACACGCAACGTGCGAGCGCGAAATGTCCTCGTTCGTTAGTCCACGTCGCCAATGACGTCAGCTTGACAGGTAATAATGTTAAGTAATATTTACTAACAGGCAGGACCGACCTCGGGGACTCGGAGGAGGCCACGAATCGTTCCTAAGGGTGCTTCTCTCTTTCTCGCTCTCTTTCATCGAGGGCGCAGTCACCATCAACTAAATTACCCGCGAGAACATGCTCTCTTCTCTCTCTTTTTTTTTTTTTTACGCGCGAAACACCGCCACTAAGAATTTCAGCACTCGACACAACCACGTTTCACAAACTGTCGCGTTCCATTGAAATCACATTCGAAAGTTAGCATAGAAAGTGTGAATTCGTTTCTATTACAACTGATGTTTAGTAAATTTTTAAGTCGATAACTCGTTATTTAAAAAATTGCAATTGACGTCTGTAGAAATTTATCGAGAATGATAACGATTGTCGATCGATAGTGCACCTATTTTTATAAAATATCGTTACATACTAATTTAGATACATATTACGAGATAGAGAGATTCAGATTATAGGTTAAAAGCATTCCTCTGTGTTAATTTAAAATGATTAAAAGAGTGCCATAACCTATATAAATTTTTTTTCTCGATCGAAAAATCTCCGATCTTAACGCAATCTATTAAAAATTCCTCTTATTAGTTATCGATAAATAAACTCTCTATAAAGGAAGAAAACTAATTCTTCAAGAAAAAACGAGAATTCGAAACAGCCGGGAGAAATCTGATTGGCCAATGTAAACATTTGCGCTCGGGTTTTAATTCACACACCGGTTAATCGAGCCGCTTCGTATAAACGTGTTTCTTTCCAAGCGTTTTCCACCGTGTCATACACTTCTCCGGGCCCCCTCTTAACCCGTTTGTTCAGAAAACAATCTAAGTTTAGCGCGGCCGTCTAAATGCGTACGCGGTGGTGGGTCGCGAACGACTATTTTCGAAACTCTCTTGTCTCTTTCCCGTTTACATAAACTGGTGTTAATACCCCACTGTTTTTCGCGTTCACGACGATCACGAGGTTGTTTCGCGACACATACAGGTTATGTATTATTTTTATTAATAGTGGCGCCACCATCTGCTCCCGCGATTCCCTCGTTTTTCCTCTGTTGATAAATAGCACAGGGCGCACAGTCATGAAAATGGAATTTAATCCTCGTGATTCGGCTTTGTTATTTTTGTCGTCCTAGTTCAACGTATTTTTTTTTTTTTTTTGTATTTTTTTTTTACAAGCTCGTTGAGAAAGTTGAGTGTCGTTACCAAAGAGGAGAATTATGTTGCAGAAGAGATTTAATTCGTTGACTTCACTTTTTTTATAAACTGCGATTTATAATTTTTCTTTTATTTCAGGAATTGATAAGTAATCATTAAAAAAAAATGTATAATCAATTTTTTCGAAAAATCGAAATTACTTAAGAATAATTGGACGTATTAATTATACAACGTGAACATTGGAAGGAGATAAGTAGTAGGATATGAAGTTGTGATTAATAGATTTGAGAATATTTGAGGATTGGATATTGTTTAAATATTTGAATATTGTATAAATGTTTGAATATATAATAATTATTGAAATTATACATGTGCGTTACGCATTATTTGAATAATATTCAAATATTTGAGATAGTGGTTATCTAAACAATATATCATTTTATTTCGCTAATTATCACTCTTAAATAATTATGTTTTTCGAATTAATTTATACAAATTTTATTTTAGAATTATTAAAAATTTTAAATTTATTAAAACTGTTTCTTTTGAATTCATTTAAATTTTACATTTCCAATTTCAATAATTAATTCGTAATCGAAAGAAGGTTTTAAAGGAATTCAACTCTATAAATATGTTATTTTCATTAATAATAATAGCGTAACTGATGTTACGGATGGTTTCCTCGTATTTTATGATTAATCACGTTGACTCATGTTTGCATAGAGGCGTTTAACCCATGATATGATCGTATTATTTGTATTATTAACGGCACTCTCGTAGATTAGTTATAATTTCTAATAATAATTTCTAACTTTTTTAACTGATTAAACATGTTGACTTTAGTAAACGAGATAAGTTTAATAAATTGAACTTATAATTTGTACTTACATCTGCACTCTTACGAAACTCTATATTTGCTTTCATAAAAAGCAAAGAAATATTGCAACGTAATAAAAGAAAAATTGAATCAAAATACCAATTTCATTAAATAAATCTCAAAAATTCTCAAAAATATCAAATAACGTAAAAAAAGAAAAAAAAAAAAATTTCCAATTTTCAATTTCGACCCGATTATCGATTAATATATAATTAATAATCTTCATTATAGAATTAAACGAAGATACGAAGTCGATATCAAAAGGACATTAAGATATTATGATTATATCACGAGATATAGCAAACTTGGTAAATTCGCGTGCACATAAAGTGCACTTGCGAAAGCGTAATTGATATTTTGTTTCATTTGACACGCGCTCTCGTAATAAATGCTTATTTGTTACTGCACGGATCGAGAGCAATATAGCTAGTATTTCAAGTTTGATTGTCATTACGATATTTACTTGTTTCGACCTGAACGTTCAATTTATTTTCAAAGCAAATCAAGAATTATACGTTCCTTCAACAATTTTTTTTAAATTTTTAACCAAATCCTCAAGTCCAGCGCGCCAATATCAAAATATATATATATATATATATCGATGCCATTTATTTAGTGCTTCGTATAAACCTTAGCCAAAGTTTTCAAAATAGCCACGCGACTGTTCAATTATAACGTTTCGAATCTGATAGTTTGTTACTTACGCGCAAAAATAGCTCGAATGAATTTATCGTTCATGAAAATTCCTAAGGTGACTTGAAGGACATCCAAATATCGTAAACCATTCGATGTACGGCTCTCCTTTTAAAAAAATTTTAAACTCGACATATAATGTCCCCTTTAAAATTAGTAGCACGTATTTTCAACCTCTTATTATCCACCCAACGATTCATTTAATTTACAAAAAACATCGCAAGAGATTAAAGTATTAAAGAAAACGAAAATATGCGTTTGTACAACAACTCTCGCGTGCCTTCCACTGGCAGAGACATCACCTGTCTATTTTTTTATTATATAACAACGCGTTTCGACACATCTTGACACTCGATTTGGATCAACGTCAAGAACTCGTCGCTCGGCCATCGAAATAAACCTAACACGCCACGAATCGGTGGACCTGTCCGCCGCAATCCACAACCAACGCTAATTATACCATCACCTTTCTCGCGCGAGACGAGCGCGTTTTACACGAGGATCGATGGAATGTGGGGAATGCTGATAAGGAGAGACGAGAGAATGGCTCGATATCTCCTCCTTTCTAGAGGTAACGCGCGTGAGAATTAAAGAGACAGCGACAGAGGGGGAGGGGGGAAACCGCTCTTTCAAAGCGGCGTATCGAAGGAAATGCTTTAAAGCCAACAAGGCGAAGGGGAGAGAGAGAGAGAGAAGACGTTTTACGTAGGAAGGAAGCGTTGTACTGTAATACGAATAAAAAGTTGTAGAATTTTTTTTTCTCTCTTCTCCTTTTTATTCCTGTAGGGGACACATTGTGCCAGGTTTTCCTATTGAATCGTGCAACGGAAGATCTGCAGAATGCAAGAGGGTATCGAATATTCAAAGGAAAATACGATGTTTAAAGGGTGAAAGTTCCAATTTTTTGTTCTCGTGATATCGTAAATATTCCTTTTTTTAATTTGCTCAAAGTCTGTCCACGGTTCTCTAATGATTGTAATATTTTGTTGAAGTCGTTAATGGTGAACATGGATTTTCGATTATTTTGAAAAATTACGTTTATAATTTAATTAGAAAGAAGAATCGACAAATTAACGATGATAGTAAAATTTGAAGTAATAAAAAACACTGGCGGAGAACAATCGATAAAGAAAAAATTGCTGCAGTTTTTTCGATGCAAAAAAAGAAAAAGAAACAGATTTTATAAAATTTCACAATAGCATACCATCGTCCATAAATATCTTTAGGCGCCTTTGTTTTATTGAAAAAAATAGAAAATATAGATCAGAAGATATAGATTCTAAATTTTTTTCGAAGAAAATTAAGTTCGAAAAAAACTTGTCGAAACTCCCCGAATTGATTACTCTACGACGATAAATAAATAAATAAATAAACATTTCATACAATTTTAATTTGAAATTAAATACAAATCGCGAAATGTAAAATGTAAAGAAAAAAAATTCACCGATATTATCGTTTTCGTACAATCGAATCTTAGTATCGTATTCAAACTTCGTCAACTTAAGAGTTGATAAGGGATCCAACACGGTAATACAGTTACAAAGTGGGAAGAAATGCAATTTATAAAGCGAAGAGTGAGTATTGTTTCGTTAATTGACATAGCCTTTCCTCCAATTAATATCGTGCCAGTTAACACGATTTCTCGAGGCTTTGCGGAAACCATAGTTATCCTTAAGCTCTGTAATCGATTTTCATCCAATACGTCCCCCCTTTCCATTTCTATCTTCTTCTTCTTCTTCTTCTTTTTCTTCTCCTCCTCCCCCCACTCTTCCCTTTTATGGGTGTTCGGAATAAGCCCTTATAGAATCGGCAAGATATTTCCAAGGAAGAAAATTAGTTTGGGTTAAGGATGGCAGATACCGTGACTAGTATAGGTCCAATGAAAAATATTCCCTCCCCGAAGTTGGTGTATCTAGTGGGAAAATGGAATTTCATTGTATCCGGCAACCTTGATTTAGCATTGGGGATAAAGCATAGAACGACTCGGTGGTAAGGAGATTTAGGGAAGTTGACGGTATTAAATTGCGCGTCAAAGGAGACCAAAGACACGTATTTTCATGGAAAACGTAATTACATTTGTTTTTTCTCGTTGAATATAGGAATATTCTCTTGCTTGAACGTGTATCAAAGTTTCTAATTTGTTGCGGTGCTTATTTATTTTATTCTAATTGCGAAGAAACATTTATAAAAGTTGGCGACGATGAGAAATGGATGATGGTTTTTAATTCGTAAGTATGGATGAAAGAATCTTTGTGTTAGTATCTAAGGATGTGTTAAATGCGATGTAGCCGCCTTGTTGAAAGGAATTTCACGAAGTTCGATCGTTTTTAACTTTGCGTATTTTCCACAGTTTCCTTACAACTTTGTAAAAAGTTAGAGGTTGATAATATAAAAGGTTATAGAAGGTTTATAAAGGTTGCAGAGATTCTTTATAGCAACAGTTTTATTTTACGCGGTATTAACTTTTACTTTTCATTTATATTTCATCGTTATAATGCAAAAAAACATCTCGTAAGAGATTTTTCTTTTTTTATATTCCTGCCACTGTATATCCCATATATATATAATAATAATCCATACATTAAAATCATCGGTAAACCTTATAATCGATTTTAAACACCATCATCTATATTTCATCACCCATCATAACCTCAATTAGACGGCTCATTCTATACGCATTTTTACACTTCACTATGATACTATATATATACGATTTCTCGTCATACGTCGAACATAAATGTACGCGAGGTAAAAAATATCTGAAAATCGCTCGAATCGAGTGCACGTGTGCCACGAAAAAAGAGGATACGTACGAAATCAGTCAGGTGTATGTATCGAGTATATAACGACGTATAATGGGCTCGTAAAGCTCGATGAATCCAGATAGCTGCGCGCGCATCCTTTCCAGATATACTTTGCGCGTTCACCACGTGATCTAGTCATGGCGGATCATCCTATCGCACGGTTGAATGTAACCGTGTTTCTGCGTTTTTTCTTTTTATTTATAAAAAGAAACGAACTTATTCTATCCTGAAACTATTAATAAAGTTATTTGCACTATTGATTTAACATGTAATCAATGGTTGACTGTGATAAGATTTAGTTTTTTTTGGTATTTTCGAAGATCGTCACGCGATGATTTTAATCTGGATGGAGGTAAGCAGAAGTCTATAACGATGGAAGGATCTTGCGAGGCTTGCGGTTGGGTTTATAGACGCACGTTTTAGAACGATGAAATGGGGTAGGTTATAGTAGATATGCAAATGACAGGCCGTTTGGGAAAATTGTTGAATAAAGTTAGGAGATGGCTATGAGAATTTTGATGCGATTAATCTTTGCAGATTGAAACTGTTTCTGATGAGGAAGTACATAGTTAGAACGAATATATATGTATATATAATGAGAAAATAGAATTGTTGACGCACGTTCGCTAATTTTGTAATCTAATATTGATATGTTTTTGATTCCTTGATTTATATGCTAATTCAGATAGTCGGACTTCG